CCGGGTTCGGGGATTTATATGCAGACCCATCTCCGCCTCATTCCCATTTATGATCGGGAAATCTGCCCCATTCGGTGCGGGTCGAATCGGGGACCCGTATAATTGCCRTCCCTAATCCCGCAACGCTGCACAACCAAAGATATCACCAACTCCTCACAAGTCACACAACCGGTTGCGTGCAATGCTGTCACCCCAGGCCACCACGCAACCAGACGCACCCTATCCTCGTGGCGCATCTTAGAACACGTTCCCTCAAGCTTCTTTTATTCTCTTGCCACGTGTTACGATCTACGAATTCTTCTTGATTTTGTTTACTTTGAGAGATACAAAAGCAGGACTGCCAGAGTCTTGGAGCCACAGAATTGAAGATTCTAGTGGGACCCACAAGAATGTATATTCATCGGTCAGCATCCGAAGCTCGGCTTCTTCTGTTCTTCTCCTCCCTTAAGCATACACGGAAAGCTGGAGGCTTKACAGAAACCAGAGAACTGGAGACCAAGGGAAAATGGAAGCTCTGGGCCACAGCATGGACCTTAGCTTCACTCGCATGTCTTCGATTCACTGTAACCCTTCAACAACGGGTCTTGGGTCATTTGCTTCCTGTCGATTTTCTAGCTTGAATGTTCGGTTCGGAAAGGATTGGAGAAAATCGGCCGGTTCTTCTTCGCTGAGGCTCTGTGGATTAAGGGTTCGTTGTGGGAAGAGGYTTCATGAAGGGGAATTTGAAGTGGTTGGATTTAAGAAGGATGAATCGAATCGAAGCTTGATCAGATCGGTCGGGAGAAACTTCTTTAGCTTCGCTGCTGCAGTTGCTGCTGTTGTTTCAATTTGTTGTGATACTCCGGCGTTGGCCGAGTCCCTCACTGTTGCTTTCCCTGTTTCTCGAGCTCGCGAGGTAATCTGTCTGATCCGTTTGTATTAATTATGGGAATTTTAAATTCATAATTGTTATTTGACTTTGGGTTCAATTTTTGATAGGGAGTATTGTTTCTTAATTTCTTTACCCTGCTAATTGATTGAGTTAGAGTATAATTCATCCTCAGTTTGATTCATGCTGATCTTGAAGTTTATCTTTTAAGTTGATTGGTGTATGTCCGTTAGGTAAATAGAGTTCAGAGAACTCTTGTTGAGGCGTGGGGCTTGATTCGAGAAACTTTCATAGATCCAACTTTTAATCATCAAGGTAACTAGGCATCAATAGTAGTCTTTTCCTGAAATTCTTTAATCCTAGAAAGAGTAGTAAATAAGAAACTAAGTGAAGCCTAGTTCCTTTCACAAAGATTTGTTTTGTGCAGACTGGGATCTGAAGCTACAACAAACCATGGTGGAGATGTTCCCATTGAAATCAGCAGATGCCGCATATAACAAGATCAGTGGAATGGTTGCCACTCTCGGTGATCCATTTACTCGAATTATCAGCCCAAAGGTGTGTTGGTGTATGTCTTTCTCATTTCTAGCTTACCATGATATGTTCATGGTTGAAACCACCTACTGTGGTTCTTCAGAAAGCTATGGAGAATTGTAGTTTGGCCAACCGAATGGCTTGTATTTTATCTGTTTCGATTTGGAACAGTTATTACCATTAGCTATTCAACATTGTTGATTTCTTTGATGCAGGAATATCAAAGTTTCAGAATAGGAAATGATGGAAACCTGCAAGGAGTTGGCCTCTTCATAAACACTGAACCAAGCTCCGGGCACTTGGTTAGTGGAGTTCCTTAAATTTTCTTCCTTTYTCCTTGTGTCATCTATGTGAGACTAAATTGTTAGYGACTGTTATGGTCTTTTTTGTGCAAACAAGATCTTTCTTTATCCACCCATTCTGATCATCTAAGCCTGGTCTCAACTATATGGGGTCGGCTACATTAATCCTGTTTCGCCCATTCTGTTCTATTCAGAGCCATATCCATTGTTAAATTATGAGCGCTTAAATCATTTCTTAATCTACCCATATTATAGTTATTTCATACTTGGTCCTCATCATTCCATTTAGATCTTTGCACCATTATTTTATGGGTTTATCTCAACTTTATATTTTTATGCCTAAATTTCTAATTAGGTTTTACTTAGACTCTCAAGGAGTTGGTATTGTGGAAGCTTAAATTTCTTTACCTTGTCCTCAAGATAGTTTTTTGTCACTTCATGTTTACTATTCTTATTCACATTCATTTTACTGCACATATTTTTGTTCAAACTAGGATTAATGGTTGTTGATACCACAACAGGTGGTTTTGTCTTGTATAGAGGGAAGCCCAGCTGCCCGTGCTGGTATACATGAAGGAGATGAGCTAGTTGAGATTGATGGTAGGTTAACATGGACTTTCAAATCTTTCCTTATAGTTTCCTCACAGTGGATATGATATCTTAATTACCATTTAAATTTTTATTATGAAGATATTTATTTTTATCTCGTGCTCATGATTTTAGATGATGAAACTATTTGATGATTTCCTTCCATTAAATAGGTTTTTAAAGGGCTATTATTTTGAGCTTATTAAAAGCAACCTTGATTCATGCTCACCATTCATTCTGCATTATTTATATATTATATTTTCCTTTCTTATTGATGAGTTAATTTATTCTAGGGCATCTCTGCATCCTTCTTTTTCCAATCATTCAGACTTGGATCTGCATTAGATAAGCTTTCATGGTTCATAACTAGACTAACAGCCAAGTTTACACCAAAAACTCCTTATTTTATTTTGATTTTGTTAACATAATTTGTTTTGAGTGCATTTCAGAATTTTTGTTAGTATTAACATTTCATTGTGTAGTCATATACATAATATTCATTGTTTTTGATATTGTCATTCAGAAGCATGTAGGTTCAATTTATATTCTCAAGTTACTTATTTTGATAATTAAATCCCAAACCGACATCCCTTGCTTAAATCAGTCATGTATTGCAGAGCCTTGTGTATTTCAAACTAAATTCATCTTACTTATGTCTCAGGACAGAGGCTTGATGGTTTTGATGGTGAAGCAGCAGCACAGAAGCTTCGAGGGCRTGTTGGAACAACTGTTACCATAAAACTTCACAGTGTAATTAATACTCTATTTCTGTTGGAAAGAATGAACAATTTCCATGGAGGGTGGTGTTTTATTTTCTTAACTTATCAAACTGTTTGTTGGATGTAGCATGAAAGCACTGCTATTGTGTATACTACTTTTCCAGTCATTGAGAATGCCTTAGTTCCTTTTATTTTTAGTTAACTTATTATGACAATATAAAAATGCATTACCGTTCTTTTGGAAAGCAATAATTCATGCGGTGATGTGGGGAATCTGGRAAGAAAGGAACAGAAGTATCTTTGAAGACAGTTTCTCCCCCTTGGATAGTGTTCGTGAGAAGATCTTTTCAAAAATTTTCTCTTGGATGCTGGTCCACCAGCTCTTTGAAGGGGTGAACAGAGGGGAGCTACAAAGAAATGGGCTGCAAATCCTATACACTTCCCCCTCCTCTCTATCTGTTCCAAATCCCCCCCCCTCCCCAAGAAGGGACTGTGATTACTTGCTGCAGTTTGATGGAAGCTTTAGAAGGTCGCTGCAGCCTCCATCAGCTGCAGGAATAGGGGAGGGGGTGGTACTGTGAGACACTCTACAGGAGATATTTTGTGGGCCTTTAGTGACCCAATCCAATCTGCAGACGCCTTAGAAGCTGAAGTCCAATCTCTTCTAGAAGGATTAAGAATTGCTAAGAACAATCATTTCAGCCCATTAGCAGTAGAAGGAGACTCAAGAATTACTATCAATTGGGAAAAGGATTTGGGAGAGGGTCCTTGGAATCTAGCTCATCTCCTGGCAGAAATTCACGAGTTATCTTCTTTGCTGAACTTCTCCTTTAGATGGATTCCCAGGGAGATCAATAAAACTGCAGATGACTTAGCAAAGCAAGGGTTGGGAAGGGACTTTTTGTATAGTGCTAACTCTTTTCCATCTTTAGTTTGATACAGGCTTTTCTTTTGTGCTTTTGGCCTGTTTGTACATCCCTCCCCCTTTTTTTTGAATATAAGTTATCTTCTTCTCAAAAAAAAACGCATTACCGCTCTACATAAGTTATTGAATATTATATTATCTTGAGTGTTGAGTAACCAACTGATTTGGTGTTCTAGTTGCACTTTACAATACTTAGTCAGGATCAATTAGAAATTTTGATTATAATGCATGTTGGATTCCCTTATTAGTAACAAACTAACAACCATATTGATWTGTAAAGGTCTAGTAGAATTTTTTGCATCTTAGAAAGAATATTAACTTAGTTCAGAAGCTTGGTAACCCTTAAAGTTTAACATGATGAAATGTCTGTTAGATAAATGATATATTAAGAAAGAGTTTTAGATTTCATTTAATATAAAATGAGTAAATTAATTGATACTGTAAGAAAAACTTTTAGATAAATTTCATTTAGTAGAATTGAAGAAAATGAAGAATATATCTAGAGTCTAGATGGGTATTAGGACATAGTGAAAATATAAGAACATCATTATGATGTCCTTGCATACACTTCAAGCAGAATTTCCAGGTTTATTTGAGGGAAACTTCTTTTCAAGCAAAAAAATGTTGAACGCCTATTTTTTTCTAGAAAAGCTGATTAGAAATATCACAGAACAGGACCAAGAAACTAATATTTTTTAGTTTTTCTTACAAATTTGCACATGACTAAAAACATGGAATTAGTGGAAGGAGAAGAATGCTCTTTTATATAAAAGGAAAAAAAAAATGCATGGCTTACTAAGGTATGTGTGGTTTGAAGACATAAAATCAGATGATTGTCTACAATGGATAATAAGGAATTCATTAAATTTCTGAATAATGTTTTTCATTTGCAGGGTAAAGATTCAGAAAGTAATTCTGGGTTCAGAGAGGTATATATTCATTTCCTTCTTTTTAGTTGGACTCGTGCCTTATCAATTTCACTATATTTTTCTTTGTGGTGTTGAGAGTTGTTTTTAAGAAAAGACAGTATGGAGTACTGCAATACTCATTCCAGAATATTTTCCCCTTGTCTGTTTATAAGTTTGTATAATGAGTCTGATATGCAAACATTCAATTTTTGCTCAAGGTCAAACTACCCCGTGAGTTCATTAAGCTTTCTCCTATATCCAGTGCTGTCATCCCTCACAGAACCCCAGATGGTCATCTTTTGAAGACTGGATATGTGAAGCTCTCAGCATTTTCTCAGGTGCTGCTGAAACTTATAACCTACATTTATTTTAACCTTGTGACAAGTTAGAAATGAAAAATGTAATATGACAATTTATTTCACATTGAAAGTTTGTTTGCTACTCTGTTATCCGGAAAAAAAAATGTTTTTTATTAATTTGTTTGATTGTTTCTTATTTCATCATGTTGGRCCTTGTCTTTCTCATTCTTAATCAGACTGCTGCTTCTGAAATGGAAAATGCCATTCAAGAAATGGAGGGACAAGGAGTACAATCATATATATTGGATTTACGCAACAATCCAGTAAGTATATCCATCTTATTTATACAATTTATAAAATATTAAAATTTACAACTTGCACCCATTTTTCTCCAAACTTCATTTTGGCATCTAAAGAAATTTTCTTTCTATTTTTTTTCAGGGTGGTTTGGTAAAAGCTGGGCTGGATGTTGCCCAAATATGGCTAGATGGAGATGAGACTCTTGTAAACACAATTGATAGAAATGGAAATATGTTACCCATAAATATGGTCAATGGACATGCTTTAACACATGCTCCACTTGTTGTCCTTGTAAGTTTCTTGGTTATCATTTATTAATTTATGTTTCTAGGAAATAGCAAAACATGATATAGTTTCCTCTCGCCATTGACAAACAAACTAGACTTAATGGTGTGCCATAGTGGTGCTTTCTATTTATTTATTTATTTCTTTCGCCTAAAATAAAGATGATTCATTGCAATCTCGTCAAATGAGCCTAAATGGTGTATATAAATGTGAGATCAATGTGAGATCAATATATGCAATCTCATACTGGTTAATTTCAATTCTAAAGAATTTTCAAGTAGTGCTACTAATATCCAGCATACTGTACCAACTAATAACCTCAGTAGGCTCTTTTTGTTTTTCTATCCCATCAGATTTTACTTTGTTAGTTTTTGGAATCAATCTAATGTTCTAATGTGTTTTCCAAAATATCATCTCACTCATTTTGCTTGTGGCTGCACATACAAGAAATCATTTTAGTTCTTTAAATTTAGATAAAATTTTCTTCAGTTCTGTGAAGTTTCCCTTTTCTCCTTTTCAACCTCTATGAATTACAAGTTTCTGAGCTAATGAATTTCATGTATTCACCTAAAAATAATCTTCAGACTGTGGTTCACAACATAATCTTATTAACAACGAAAAAAATTTATTACTTTTTGATAATCAAAGCATTTATATTAGTTCTGAAGCCTTTCCTTTTTGAAACAGGTAAATGAAGGAAGCGCAAGTGCTAGTGAGATTTTGGCTGGTGCTTTGCATGACAATGGCCGAGCAATCCTTGTGGGGCACAAAACCTTTGGGAAAGGAAAAATTCAGGTACTCTTTTTTATTACAGGTTAYAGCTGGTATTCTCTTAAGCTGTGCTGGGGTGTTTGAGAAAAGGTAGAACTGATTTCCACCCAATACTGCAAAATTTAAATGACTATCCTTCCCTCAGAATTTCCAAATTGCTTAGCATGAATTATTGAGATCAGAATTGCTTATTCCAAATCCCATGCCACTACCCAAAACGGAATTCAGAAACTTGTGGAATTGGATTTGACCAGTTCGCTTCCTGCCTATGATTTCCATCTTTCCAGGGACTGCCTTTCTATTTGTATCTTTTTGGGGGATACAACATGAGTTACAAATGCAGGTTATATTTTTTGTTCATTTAATTAAAAACTGTTTTTTCTGAAATATCATTACAAGGTAAGACCTCTGCAACGGAAAATGGGTTCATTCTGTTTTGGTTTTAATCCTTTGGTCATTGAATTTCTCAAACTTAGGTGGTTGTACTTTCTATAATTGACATTTGGCATTTGCAATTTTTTTATCAGTTAGCATTTGCATTTCCCAAGCGGAAATTAAGGCCATCTATGTTACCCAATACTTTAGTTTCGATATCTATGCTACTAGTTCTGCAAACCACAGCCCAAGACCTTTTGTTTATATATCTGYTTATCTAATAGTCTTCAATCTTCTTATTCTTTGTTTACTTGATTGTACAGAGTGTTACAGAACTACATGATGGATCTGCCCTGTTCGTTACAGTTGCAAAGTATTTATCACCAGCACTTCATGACATTGATCAGGTTGGCATTACACCAGATGTGCAATGCACGACGGATATGTTGACATCACCTAAAGAATCCTTCTTGAAGGAAAAGCGCTCAATATCCTCCCTTGAGGGAGATTCATGCATCATGGTAGCTGAACATGAGTTGGATATTCAGGAATCCAAGGGAACTGCTTCATGAAAGAAATGCATCTGCCTTCATATTTGTTATGTACAAGTCACTGGATGTATAAATATGGAGAAAAATCACAATTCTCAATGTTACTTCTTCATATGATTGTATACATCCATTGTAAACCAGTCTTTACCGAAGAAAAAAATGTAAAGCAGTCAGACTGGAAAATAAAAATGAAAGGAAACAATGTACATATACATAGGAAAATGCTTTGTAAAATTKACTGTCTTATAGTTTGTATATGAAATTTAAGCTTATATGGTAATTGATGATAAAGGAAACTACCCTTTGAATGAGGGAAAGAATAGTTGTGATGACAGTGGATGATTACAGCCAATTAATTACAAAGCAAACTGTCCAAATACGCAGTAGATTCCAGCTCATTAGATTGACYGTACTTCATTTTCTGACCAACTTCATTAGCTCCTCTGTTACCTTCAAGACTAACTAATAGACTTAGAGGAATAGCAAAAAGCACTTAATGAGGTCCAAAAATACAGAACATTGCCAAG